CAATAATAATATGCTAGCTCATAGAAAGAGAGGGTCCAGATTAAGACAGAGACTGTAGAGGAAGAGAGAGAGAGACAAGTCAAAGAGAGACCGGAGAGCGAGGTTTGATACAGGACATTCCCATCTAACTTTGCGGACTGAGGATGAGTTTGAAAGTTCGCCTTTATTTTGTCTGCTCCCTTTTGTTATGATCTTGTTCATCACCTTAGAACTTTAGCTTTTTTCCCATTTTCTCTATTGCACAAAAAAACAGGTGAAGTTTTGAAGCCGGATGAGTTGTTTCCAACTCTACTACATGTATATATATTTTGACTGGTATTGAAGCATTTTCAGCATCTACAGCTAGTTATGTTAGCTAAGAAACATAGCTACTACTTATTTGTATATATTGTGTGTGCTCCCTGTGTACTCTTACTACTGTCCTATATGTGCGATGCAACATCGAAATTTCCCCACTGTGGGACGAATAAAGGAATTCTTATCTTATCTATCTTATCTTATCTTACACCGAGGGCTAGTCAAGTAAAATGAACATACAAGGTTTATACTGCGCTAACCTGCAGCTGAACGGACTGAAAGACACAAGGCAGGGACTGGGTCAATTGGAAGAAGTTAAGATGGATTACAACATGTAAGTAAGCAATCTTTATTTATATACCACCTTTCACAGACCAGAGTCACAAAGCGGTTTACAATTGTAGTTTTTTTTCGGGCATTTGTCCTCTCACTCCACACAGAGAGATGGAAGCAGGGTTGCCAGTACACAAGGCGCATGCCAGACCTATTGTAGATATTTTTAGTGGTAGGGGAAACCGGAGTACCTGGAGGAAACCGGAGTACCTGGAGGAAACCTACGCAGACACGGGGAGAACATGCAAACTCCACTCAGAAAGGCCCTGGTCCGACCGGGATTTGAACCCAGTACCTTCTTGCTGAGAGGCGAGAGTGCTATCCACTCAGTCACCGTGCCGCCACATGAAAGGATTGGATAGATTTCAGATTCAGTTTCTCTGCCTTCTGCGGTAGAACCACATTGGAATACATGTGTAGAAGTCTTCTCCAGACAAGTACATACATAAAACAAGCTAAAAAGTAAAAGAATATCCCAATATAATGATGATGATAATAATAATAATGATAATCTCTCTCCCCTCAAAATAATATTATTATTAGTCATTTCAAATAGTTGTTTTTCTTTTAAATGACATTTTAATGATAATCATGATAATAATCACTTCAATAATACTTCAATAATAATAATAATACTTCAATACTTCAATAATTGTTGTGGTGGCACTTTGACGCTGGAGATGACGCGCGCTTAGTGTTACTTGAAATAAAGCAAGAATACCTAAAATAAAATAATGAACTGTGAAACTCTTGTGTCAATTTGGAATGTCCATCCATTTAATATTTAATATTAAACTTGTAGAAAAGAATAACAAAAAGAATGACTGAACTGAAATCCTTAACAATAACACATGTAGCAAGGTAAAAAAACTGTGTCCTCAGCACCACACCTGCACCGTGATTGTGGCTTCTTTTTATACCTGAAAGCAGAGGACCCTCCCAGAGCGCCCTCTGCTGTATTTGCTCCACCATACCGGCCCCTAATTGTTATGGTCAGACATCACAATTACATAGAAAAGGAGCAAAATACAACAACTTGTACCTTATGCAAAAATACACTAGTCATTTTCCAACAACATACACAACTTTGTCACTGGCCTCCTCAGAAAATTTGTTTTTGTCTATTTCTACGGATCTAACGACTCCGCATTTGTCTGGAAATACAGTTTTCCTTTGTACAGTTTACAAAAAAAAACAAGATATTACAACATTCCTTGTAAATGCATTTGCATGAGTGATCCAATATATCTCTTCATTTTGCAAGAACTTGATTTCTTCCACTGTGTCGGGTGCATTCGTGAATATCTTTAATGATTAAGGGTGATACATGTTGATCCTTGGACAAAATTATAGGATGTTTGGTGTCAGCGGGCATCGCTGAATTTGAAAGCCGATCACCAACTTTAAGTAATCCGTCATGAAGAAAAGGGTTTAAGGGAATAAAAAAGTTTATAGATGAGACTGTTGCCTTTGACATTTTTTTTTGCTTAACAGAGAGTTAATTTAATTGGAAAACCTATGTTTTTGACAAAACTTCACTATAGCACTTTCAGATTGACACTAGTTTTCCGTTGACAGGCAAGAGGGTTTGACTTTGTCTTTAATCTTTTGGAGTCCTTTAGCAATGTGTGACGGAGTATAGCTCATTGATAGAGCTTTTTGAACTTTGCAAAGTTCAAATAGTGTTTTTATACTGCACATGGCTAATAAAATGAATCTGAATCTGATTTTCAAAATCCAAGCAACTGCAATTTTTAGCCTTTTCCAATCGGAGTAATGATGGAAAAATTTGTTGGTTGGATTATGTTCAGTTTGTGTTGAACAAGTAATCTCAGTTTTGACTTCTGGATCCCTCGTGTTATCCAGTTAAACGCTGTTGTGCTACACACCTGTTTGGTAAATCAATATTTGGATTTTTGAACGGTAGTTTGGGGTTATAGTGCCCATTTACTGATTGTTTCTTGATATTCACAAACTTCTTATCATCCTGAGACAGTTCCTCGTTTTCAGGCTTCGTACAATCTTTGAAATCGTGTTCATATTGTTTTTCCAGGAGACTCTCAATAGTGTGTAATGAAGTGCGATTGACACACAGACCACTATTCAAGACTTTGTTGGGACCACCTTCACTCGAGCCACCAATGACCCACCCCAACAGAGTCTTTACAGCAAACGGTCCATCCCCCTCACTGTTAACAACCCTCCAGGGTTCATGCAACTTTGAAGCATCAGTGCCTATCAACAAACCTATTTCAGCATCAATTTCTGGCAGATCAACTTGACTTAAATACGGCCAGTGTTTCAAGTCCTTTTTTGTGATGATATTGTTTTTGTTTACAGGCATTTTTTTTTGTGTATACACAATGGGCAGTTCGTAAAATTTGGTTCCTTTAAAACTGGAGACTTCCAAATCATTTACTGTGTACGTAGTTGTTGTGGTTGTTGGACTCATTGTGAGCCAGCAGATTTTAGACTTTTTCCCTGTTACATTTAGCTTGTTCATCAAATTTTCTGTGCAAAACGTTGAAGTAGAACCATTATCCAGAAATGCATAGGTGTGAATCACTTTGTTTCCTCTTTTTGATTTTACTGTGACAGGGAGAATGAACAGTTTTCCACCGGCCCCAGTATGATTAACATTTGTTTGAGTCAGTGCATTTGTTTGTTTGGATTCGGATGTACAGGGTTGAATAATATTTGCACTTCCAGAGTGGTCAACATAATGCAGAGCAGACTTAACTTACATATTTGACATATCAGGGGCTTATTGCACTTGTTTGAAAAATGTCCAAGCTTTAAACACTTAAAACAAGCACCTTTTTCTATCAAAAAACTCATTTTGTCACGATGTTGTTGCTCAGTAAACTTTTGGCAGAAGTTAAGTGAATGAATTTGACTCCAGAATAAACACTCAAATGTATTTGTACTTTCAGAGACATTTGTTTGTCCCACAGTAAAATTTTCATGTCTTGGCCTTGGGTTGAATAATTCAGTGCGTTTGACACGATCTGAATGTTGTGGTCGGAGATCACCAAAGATTGGGTCGGAAACTATTTTGACTTGTCTTTCAACAAAGGTTACAATGTCTGCAAATGCAGGTCTGCGATGCTCCGTCTCTTGAATGTCACATGCAATGTTTCTGAATTGCTCTTTCATTTTGTATGGAAGCTTTGAGATTATAGTCCTCATATTTGATGACATGCTCAGTTCATTTAGATTTGTAAGGTCACGCATAGCATTGCTACATCCACGAAGAAATAAAGCATAATCTTGTAATAGTGTTACATTTTCTGTTTTGATGGTTGGCCAGTTGAGAACCTTTTGCATATAAGCATTTGTGAGTTTTTTTTCATGTCCAAAATGTTCATATAACATAGACTTTGCTTTATGATATCCTTCCTCTGGCGACATGTGCAAACAGCTCTGCATAAGTTCCTTGGGGCGCCCCCTTGTGTACTTTTCCAAGAAGTACATGCAGTCTCCTGAACGCTTGAGTGAACACGTTAAACTTCAGTGGATCACCATCAAATATTTTATTCTTGTTTTATTAAGAAGTCAAAGATGTAATTTTGCTTCTGCAGAAACTGTATTAAGAGGTCATTTTGTGGCTGGATGGCAAGTGAGTATGTGCTTTGAGTCAATTGTGCAATGGTAGGAATGGCATCAGCTTGCACGTTGGGAATTACAGGTTTCATAGTCTTTGCTTTAGTGGAGGAAGTTGTACTTTTTCTTGTTGTGAAGGCCTGTGAACTCATGCAGTCACTGTAGGCATCAAGCACGTCCAGCTCTGCATCTGCAGCTTTGATTTCCGCTAGAAGTTCCAAGGCTTCGATCTGAGCCCTCATTTCTTCCTCCTTCATTTCGTGCTCAAGTTTTTCCTTCATTATCCTTTTTTTTAGTTCACGCTTTTCCTTCAAGACAATTTCCTTTGCAAGCAAAGCAGCTTTTTTTGCCTCTGCTTGAGCCCGAAGAGATGAAGATATTCTTGAGGTACTTGACTTTAAGGATATATTGGAAGCACTGTCTGTAGCGTTTATTTCATCTGACATATTTTCACATTGGTCCTTGACATAAATATTAGCCTTATATTGTTCATTTTCAAGAGGAGCAGCACACACATCAACCGGCACATTAATCTGTTCATATAAACTAATTTTGATTTTAACACACAAACATTTTAAACAAAAGTAGGAGACCTTAAAATTGTCCTTTTGTACATTGACCGAAGTCTTCTTTAAAGTTCAGTTCAGTTCGCTACACCAATGCATTGGATTTATAGGCCTTCATTTCATTTAGTCTCCGCTTTAAATCTTTAGCGCGCACTTGAAACTGCGCTAAACACGAGTACCGTATAAAGCTGGTCTTTCCTAATGTGTGGGCCAGACAAGCCCGCTGAATCTTCTTGGCCGTCCCAGGCACGACCTTACCGAACCGCTCGGTACCAGATCCGCATCTGCTTCTTGGCCGCCCTAGGCACGACCTTACCGAACCGCTCGGCACCCCAGACGAGACCCAGTCTCCCAGCCCAGCTCCTTGCCGCTGTATGCTTTTCCAACCGCGCACAGATGAATACAGGCCCGTCAGTCCGCTCTATGCTCCCCGTGTGCACGAGTCTTTCCTTCACGCCCAGTGGAGCCAGGTCGCGTTGGTATCACGCACACAGTGCATTGACTGACGGTCCTCACGGTACTCACTGCTAGAGCCCTGCACTTGAGCCTTTGGCCTGAGGGCCCCGACGGCCCGACAGCCCGAGGGCCGGGCTTTGGGCCGATGACCGCATAATGACCTCGGACACGGGCCGGGCTCGGGCTCTTCATTTTCAGAGCGGCAGAATACATTTACGAACGCACCCACTGAATATAGCGTTCTATCACGCTGTAGTGTTTGTTGTTCTGTGTAGTGTTGTCATTGACGGCACATAGCGTTACATACAGGTGTGTTGCAGCATCTGGGCATCATACAGATGCGGCCGTTCACTCTGCACCACTCTGCACCACTCCGCACACACAGAACTCATTGCAACACATCACTACCATGTATAACTCCGCCCTCTAGCTAAGTCTGCGTTCATATCAGTGCGCGGCACTATATACTACGCTAAAACATTGTTATGGGATGTTACAAAAAAAAAAAAAAAAAGTCGGGCTTGATGCGGGTTTTGGGCCTGAAAATTCAGAAACCATATCGGGCCGGGTCGGGCTGGGGCTCCACCCCTTCGGGCCAGGGCCGGGCTCGAGCCCAGATAATAGGCCCGTGCAGGGCTCTACTCACTGCAACTGTCAACAGGTGAGTTTTCCGCCCTATTTTCCAAAGATGAGAACAGTTTTTTTACAATATGTGGTGGCACTTTGACGCTGGAGATGACGCGCGCTTAGTGTTACTTGAAATAAATACCTCAAATAAAATAATGAACTGTGAAACTCTTGTGTCAATTTGGAATGTCCATCCATTTAATAATAAACTTGTAGAAAAGAATAACAAAAAGAATGACTGAACTGAAATCCTTAACAGTAACACATGTAGCACGGTAAAAAAACTGTCCTCAGCACCACACCTGCACCGTGATTGTGGCTTCTTTTTATACCTGAAAGCAGAGGACCCTCCCAGAGCGCCCTCTGCTGTATTTGCTCCACCAATTATGAGAATAAATGACTAATAAATACTAATTATCAATAAATACTATTACTATGGGGGCGACAGTGGCTAATGTTGGTAGAGCATTGTATGTTGTATGTAGAGCATATGTTTCTTATTTAAATGTTCTGCGTGTCTATTATGACATATATTATAATATTCCAACTTTTTTTGTGTGGCTTTGGTGAAGTGCAGGTTTATTACATAAGACACTTATTACTTTGTACTTTTTGGAAAATTCTTACATAACGTGCCCGTAACACTACAGGCAGTGTGTTGCTCAGTTACAGGACAACAGGAGTGTGTGAAGAGCTGTGTCTCCGAAGGACTGGTGAAAGCTCGAGTTTGATTAGTAGAACAGGACTCAGGAAAACCTGTGCTGTGATTGAGGTGTGAAAACTTGCTCGTTTGCCAAAACCGGAACCACTTTTGTACACGTATGTAACCACGGAAACATAAGGTTACTTAACATAACCCCGGTTATTTGATAACAGAGTGAGGTGTTTCACTATGGGGAATCGCCTTGGGCGTGACCATTCATGGAAGCTCCAATGGCGTGGTACGTGCGTCTTTTGACACACAGGTTGACAGTACCTAGCACTGCCCACCTATCCTGGTGCAGTCAACCTCCTCCTTTTGAGATAATTCAAAATCGCTTTCTGACCGCTTTGGAAGGAGGGCAATGAGGGTGAAACACCTCACTCTGTTATCAAATACCCGGGGTTATGTGAAGTAACCTTAAGTTATCTAACTTCGTTTGGTGTTTCACTATGGGAGATATGGATAACTCCCGTATTGCAAGTAATGCTCCTGAAGCAAAGGACCACCGAGGCGCCAGACGGTGACCTCAAACAGTTCCAGAAGCACAAAACTACCTGAGCCAAAGAGGCGCTAGAGACGTCTAGTTGATAAAACCGAACAAGTATACAGCGTCGCCCAACTGGCCGCCACACATACGTATATCCTGGACGGATACACCCCGGAACAGGGCCTAAGAAGTAGCAACACCCCTGGTGGAGTGTGCCCTCAGCCCCTGCAGTGGAACTATACCCCTGCAGGTATAGGCCAGAGAAATTGCCTCTACAATCCAGTGAGAGATCCTCTGACACCGGCTTTCTCAAATGGGGAGTATCCAAGGACACAAACAACTGGTTAGCTTTCCTTAAGTCAGCTGTCCTGTCAACGACATGAGGGGCTGAGAGAAAAAGCCTGCAGTTCACTCACGCGCAACAGTTTTATAAGCAACTGTCAATGGAGTATGTTATTGTGTTATTATCATATTAATAAATGTAACGTTAGTTTAGTCTAGGATCTAAAAACTAGTAGTAAGCAGAGTGAAGAATGTATGGAACCATCCCCCAGCCATTAAGCACAGGAAGTTAAATTAAGGCAAGAACCAGACAACATCTGTTTAGAGTAGCCTCAGGCTTATTCACACAGGGGCTATTTGTGTGTCCTGAACAGAAAAGAGGTATTGTCTTCACCTAAGGATGTTGGGACATATGTCTTCAATTATCATGTCATGTGACTGTGTGCTTATCATCGATAGCCTGTTCCTGAATGAGAGTCTTTTTGCTTTGGCTTGCCAGAGAGAGGGCCCAGATTGGAGAACCAGTCTGCTACATTTGTCTGTATCCTGTATCCTGTATCCTGTATTCTGTCTTTTATATATTAAACCTTTTTTATATATCTAAGCAGAATTTGTAGTGTCCATTTTTCATCGAAGGAGAAACCGTGGCTGAACCAGCGTTAACATATTTTGGTCCTTCTTGAGCCGGATGTCAAAACATCATTTTTTTTGGAGCTGACCGTCGTCCTACTAGAGATCTGAAGCAGCAGCGTGGCTTGGAGGTTGCAGGTCGAAAAACAACTGCAGCAACAGTCTCTTTGTGGGGTTTGATCAACTTCGAACATCGGATTGAAGACACAAAAGCCACGGACATCGCGATAACAGGCAAGTGTGAATTTACTTTTGAAGTCGGAGACTCAAAAAAGAGGCCGGGGATAACGAGGCTTATCCTTTTATAGTCGAGGGCTATTTCTTAGGCCTAGGACAGGGGTGGCCAACCAGTCAGAGACTAAGAGCCATTTTTTTTACTGTATTACAGCAAAGAGCCACATCATACAAATGTGCACTACATAAACATCACCCCAACCCTTACACGCACACGCGCACGTACGCACTCGAGCAGACACGCGCACACACATGCAATCTGTCTGAGCAGAGAGAGGTGTGCTCTGCTCAGACAGATGTATTGTAAATGTCATCAACATGATAATGACAGAAATTGACTTGTACAGTACTAAAGGGCTGGACTCGACTCTCCCTGGTTTGCGGGCGCTTCCACCGCTCGCTTTAGCCGCTCCCCGGTACTTTTTATTAATGGTTTGGCCCTGGTTCTAACCGGGCGAGTCGATACCAGAACAATCTCACGTCAGCGAACATCAATTATGATTCCGAAATGAATGCTTTCAATCTCTAACCAAGAAAAAAAATCGAGTTTCAACCCAGTGTTCAGCAGAAACACAACTGTCTTTATCAAACCATGATTCACTCTGACTGCGTTTAGTAAAAGATATAGATTTGACACATAACACCAACACCACTTTAGCTGATTTAGAACCACAGACACATGTTCAGTATAAGACCAGATATTTTTGCATTTGATTGAAGACAGACACTCACCAGGCAGAGTTGAGGCTTATCTCCTGGTGTAGCTGGTGTTAGCTGGTTTTAGCATATTAGCCGGTGTTAGCCGATGTCCGTAAATTTAATCCATTTGGTCAAACCACCTCCAGACTTTTCGGTTCTGCCTCTACTTCTGCTGCTGTGATCTTTCATTTCACGGTTGTCACTTTTAAGCTTTTTAACTTTTCTCTGCATTGTGATGTTCGTGGGAATCATTCTGCTCCGTCCTTAGTGCTAGCTCCACAAACACCTTCTGGTTTCTGGTGGAACCATCGAGCTCACGCTGGTGTCCTCTCCTCAAACTGAGGAAGGTGTTGCCCTCATCCAGCGACCAAGGAACTGTTTTCCGTACGGACGCCATGGGTCGAGGCAACGTTGTTTGTTATGATATTTGCAACAGCTGAGGCAGCAGCTGCAGAGTGACTGACCAATCAGAATTGACGTTCGCCGACGTCAGATTGTTTTGGCGGCCCGGCTAGTGGAGTGAAGTCGGCCTTTACTATGGGTCAGAACTACATAGAGAATGAATGGCAGCGCCACCACCGAGGCGTTTTTGACGCTTGTCATGTGAAAGCCCGAGAGCCGCACGGAACCAGCCAAAGAGCCGCATGCGGCTCACGAGCCGCGGGTTGGCCACCCCTGGCCTAGGATAACGAGGTTTATCCTTCTAATAGTCGGGGAGCTATTAAAGACAGTCAAGGGGGGGCCCGGAATAACAACAGGTTATTCTTTTAGATAGTCTGGAACTATCATAGACTGTAAGAGTAAGTCGGGGACTACTTTTTACTGCAGTTAAAAGTGAACGGGGTTCATTTTGATTTAAAGACGTCTGTGTGAATGTGTGTGTGAAAGGAGATCAATCTATACTTGAAGCACCGGACAACCAGAAACCTTGCGGTGATAACAAAAAGTTGTCGGCTTGGTGAAGTAGAGTTGGATTGCATCTCATTATGTTTTAAGTAATCGTGAAAGTGGTCTAAAACAATTACATTCCTTGTGATTAAACACCCAGGAGAAACCGGATGAAACATTAAGTTTTATCTAGAAGCTTGTTTCTCGAGGAAGTGATTTGGCCCGTGAGGCATTCCACTAAGATTGTTTACAAATGTGTAATTAATATCCACTGTTGTATAAGCAATAGTTATTAAATAGAAGTTGAAGATATTTAAGTAATTTACTAAAGAGTAAATATGGGTTCATCTTGTACTAAAACGGGGGATCTAAAAGGAGATCCTAAGTTTATGCAGAGAAAAAATCCTGAATCAGTTAAGTATTTAAAAAACTGGAAGAAGAAGTATGGGTTTGAAGGTAAACTAACACTAAAAGAGTGTGAAACACTGGTGATGAAAGTTAGTTTAGGACTTAAATCCAAAAAGT